GTACACATGCGTATTTTTATGTTGAATCTGAAGAGTAAGTACTACTACACTGTTTATCTCACTGGGATGAAATATTCGACCACTTCGTAGCTGGTATCAGTCTTACAATATTCTTGACTATAATGATGGGAATTTTTTAGCACAAAAGTTAATAATATTCTGATCGTTTTTTTTCAAAGTGCACTTGTGGGAATCACATTGGTAGAAAGTTGTGAATATGTGTTGTTGAATTTGTTAATAACAATTCATTTTCGATTGAAAACTGCAAATGAAACTGCTTACCGGCAAATGAAAGGGCAACGCAATTCAAGCATAATTTGACGTTCAGAACAAATATGTTCCTGTTGTCTTGTTTGTACAATATGCTGCTTTTTCATCCGCTTCAGCGCAAACGATTTGGTTCGGTCTTTGTTCCACACAACCTGCGGGTAAACAAAACGAGAGGAAAAACGTGGATGAAACAAGATTTGTTTGTGGGCTGGTAAAGTCAAGTCAAATCCGATTAGATTATCGAAACCACGGGTAACCATAGCACGTCCACGTGATCCACAATAATCCTTAGCGGATCACGTGTCTCGAAAGACGAAGTGAATCGGTTTCGTAACCTGAATTTTGGAAGAAGCATATAATGAGAAAGTGGACAGCAAAATCAGTGTATTGTTTTACCTTTAGATTTAAGGAGGGAAGAAGATCAATGTTTCTGAAGGAAGCATCATTATTGGATAGGTTTATAATTGTGTGTGATGGACACACTAAATCAGAATTTACAGTGATCTATAGGGATGTGATGTCCCCTTCGTTTTCAGATCTTTTATCCAATACTCTGTATCCCCATGGGTCGATGGATTTGCACTGCTGATTAGCTCCAATTAGATCGAAACAGCAGATCAGTGCTTCCCAGCTTTTCAGCTCACGCCACATTTATACGACGAATTCATCACATAATTTTCCAGTCTGTTATTGGCAGCCGAAGCGAACGTACTTAACTTCAGCAAAGGCTGATCGCCTTTGTAAATACATCCCAGTACTATCCAGCTCCTGACCACGAATACCCTATTGTGTTTTTCAGATTGTATGGATATAGTTACCGGATCACAAAGTTAAACAATGGGTTCTTTTCAATACAAAGTCCACCTCTTCAATTAGCTGTTCATCACATAATAGTATGTAAGGAGCATTGTGTGTGTGAGGGGGAGGTGTTTGGATCCTCGACACACGAACGAAGAACTGTAGTAGCCCGTCGACTTGACGGCAGGTGGACTCGCATTTTCGAACCTATCAATTAATGTAGAAGGTATTTTAAACTTGGTATATTTTGGTGATTTATCAGAAGCGCATCGAAAACTCTCGAGAAAGAGAAAAACGGATTCAATCTCATGGGTTGGAAATAACTTGTTTTGAGAGCGCATGTTTCATTTGGTTTACATATATGGTGTGAAAGCAATCCCTGACGCGCACTTGTCTTGTGTTTGCACGTGTGCATGTTCAAACAGTCGCTGACCTCCCGGATAGATAAAATTCTCTGAGTAATTTACCTCGTATCAAAATTTGTATCCTGCGAGTGGTTACATTCAAGATACCTTATGAGACCAGATTTCTTAGGAAATGGTATTGTATATTGATAATCGTTGATGCTCTGAGCCTGACATTTGGCTGCCAGGAATTTGGTCACCAGGGTCCGTTGAAGATTCACTAACAATTTATCGTCACTGAGCACTGAAAGATTCAAAATCTGAATAGCTCACTTAACCGTACTTCAGCGTTCTTCCTCTATTGATGAATAATGAAAACGGCACCTGATCAGACTGAAGATGAAACTGAAACCAATTTCGGACTTTACTGACGATTGAAAGGCTATTTGTTACAGTATTCCAATGGAAGATACAATTTAGTGGGTCAGCTATGCCAAATCTGACGAAAGAATGTTGAATGATTAGTCGGCAGAGGATTTGGTTGCCATTTACCAACCTGAGAAAACTTCAGTGCCGCTGCGATATGTGTATATATGTATAAAGAGCTGATAATTTACTAAAGCCGTTCGGTTGGTTATACTGTATTCTTCAAGGTACGGATCGATCAAGCGGGCTTCCAAAAATCAGCAACCAAAATCGTCGCATAAAATTTTAAATTAAATGATTGTACAAACTGCAAACTAATCATTTATGTGGACAATATTTCCCAATGTGCAGACTGTACTCACCAATTCCACACAGCCGAAACCACCGATTCCCAACACTGCAACCGGTTCTAGGTCTTCGCGTTCTATTTTCACAGACAAAGCCGGTTCGTCTGGGATGGTGGCCAGGGTTGGTGCACCGGGACGTCCGCGAACAGACAGGTGATCATCTATTCGGGATCCCGCCTGTATGGTTGCATCAGATGACGGTGTGGACGGCGCGCTACAATTTACAGGTAGAACAAACATACACGAGAAGATGGAATGATGATGACGAGGATGACGAGGATGATGATAAGCCCGAATCAGTAAGAAAACTGACCCCACGTGTGATTGGCACAGGCGACGGACTCAATTCGCCGTTAAAGCTATAGGAGTGCTGCCCACCTCGTGTGTTTAACAAATCATCTGTAGAATAACAATCGAATGAAACATTGTGTCCGATCACAGCTGAGAGGTGAACATTTTGTTCCCGAGATTCGCATAGCTAAAATCCAGCTTGTTGAAACAAATGATAGGACCAATACATGCGTGCGGAGCCGATTATGTAATCTGATTAACACGGGACTAGGAAAGGCAGAGAAAGACACCGGAAAACGAACAGTGTTCAGGCAAATGTTGATGGTGAGGACAATAACCGCAAACAAACACAGGTACCTAAGGCGTTGAAATCATGAACACAAATTGGTTTCAGTGCATGTTATTATAAATTGTCGCCAGATAGTTCGCGGTAAATGGAAGGGAGGAAGAATAGTTCCGCATTTGGAATGTAATGCATAACTTTATTCGAAAGCGGACTGCATAGGTCGATCGAGTGGTTGTTAAACACAGGTTATCATTCCAGGTATGAGGAAGCAAGTGAATATTTCGGGATCACACAGACCAGCACAGACAAGTGAGTGATTGTGAATACGGTTTGTTGGCAACGCTAGCTATACCTGGATTTTTAAGACACTTGGTAACACAGATAGGTGTGCAATTTATCATCACTGCAACTAATGACCATGTATCTAATTATTCTTTTTTCACCACAGTTGGTCAAATGTATATGAATTAACTTGCGACGAAACTGGTCTAATGGTTGATTATTTCCTCCAGTTCTGATCAATTTTCGTAAAATAATCAAGTTGCCTGGTTTGACGCAAAACGGATTGGATATAATTATATAATTAGTGAAGAGAATCACACTCGATTAACTGGGATGCGGTATGAGATATTCAAACGATGGATTCGTTATCACAATAATGGGATTCCATTTTGAACAACACACTATCTGTCCAGAAAATCATTACCATTGCAATTTGTTCGCTAAAACAAAACCATTATATTCTATAGATTATCGTTCTATCAATTCTGTTAATTCCTTATTTCATTGGGGATGCATGGTATAATTTCTAACTTTCATGTTTATTTCATACCAGTAAACAGTTGGGAGCATGAACCCCGCGTATTTAGATCCAGGAAAGAAAGAAATTTTCTGGTGAACGATTTCAATAAGTATGCTTAGCCAGCTGCACATATGGTGTACCAGAGTGATTCAGGGAACATGGTTTGCCATTTCATTTCCAAAAGCAGCTAAGGAAGCTCTAGGATTTGATCTTTATATGCAAAGGACAGTGGTTGGAAATGCAAGTTCATATCCTGCTACAAGTTAAATGCTATGCATGTAAACAATTCATTTCGAATGTTTTTCTCTAGTGAGATGGGAGTAAGACTATTGGTTCAGAACAAAGATTCTGGCTGCAGGCATGTAAAATAAAATTGATTCTCCAAATTGGAAGCCCATGACCTTGTTCGTTGGCTTCCGAATAAGAAAACGGTTTCCTGGCAGAGAGGAGAGGAGGTAATTTGTAACGAACTGTAATGCACGGTGAGATTGAAGCAGTCTTTTCGTGTTTTGTTAACCATACGCGCATTTGGGAAGATCACTATGAAGTTCATTAAGATACCCAACTTTGTTGATACCTGGAATATGCTAAGATAGGATTGCCTCTCCAAAATAGGCTCTATAAAAGATTCACTGTCAAATGTATAAAGTTACATTGTAATGCTCTTGGCAGGTTGAGGGCGAGATAAGTTTAATTCCCAGTATACCTTGAGGTTCATGGCATTCGGGTTTTCACTCTGTTGAAGATTGTCATTTAACCCTGCTCGCTGAGAACATCCTGTTCGTCGACGGCTCCAGCCTACGCGAGACTCGGTTCACATTCGGTTGTCTCGTATATCAGTTTACAGGGGACATCCTACCCCACACCTGAGTTCATGAATTACAATATTCAGAAACGACCGTAGAGAATGATTTTGGGCAATTCAATCTTCGAGTTAGAAGATTTCTTGCCCAAATCCAATTGTAGTGGTGTAATAGCGCGTGCTGCAAGTATCATGAACCGAGGTTCAAGGATCCGATTCTGCCAACAACGTTCGACTGCATGCATCGCCTATATTCCCCGATCCAACAACGCGCAGTTCCATTTATACTCCTTTAGTGCACTGTACTGAGTCACTTAAGAAAGCACAATAGCATACATTTCGGCTCCCCACTGGAAGTCTCCCAGTTCAGACTGCATATTCTCGAAACTGAACCGTGACCAAATGGTTCATGGGGGCCGATAGGGGCTGCACAGGCACTCTGAGGGACCACTCCCATCAATGCTTAGCGCAGTTGAATCGCCCTTTCACAGCTAGACAGAAAAAGCGGAAGCAGCTTCCCAAGTATTCGGATAGTGCTAGCGATCTCTCTTTATTTCGTCCTATCATAACCACAAGCACGTAACTACACACACATACACACACACACACATTCTTTATACTCCTTTTAACCACTCTTTAGGACGGAGAATTTTCTCGAGGCCTTTGGAATATTTGTCTGACGTACGGGGATAAGAGTTGAAACATCGATGACCGGTGAAAATTGACCAACATTTCCGAAAAGAAAGAGGAAATAATTGGGATAAGGAAATTTGTCCATGCATAATAGTAGTGATCCCTTTACCATTAATTAACAAATAAAAATAGGAATCAGCACAGGATGGAGGTGGGTAAATAGAAAAAAAAGAAGAGAGAATAACCACGAGGTTGATTCCCGATCAGTCGTTGAATGAACCGGTTTACGGATCAATCAATTAATAAGTCGCCCATTGAAGGGAAACGAGAAACGTAAGGGAAACAGGAAACATAAAGCGTGGGGATCATGTGTTGGACGATCGGGTGGACAGCCGGGCAGAGGAGACAGACAGTTGCAGATATACACGAAAACAGGCAGGTGAGTGGACGATGGATGAATGGACGTGTGTGTAGTATTAGTAGTAGTGGTAGTAGTGATAGCAGTAGTACCACGTTATTCGGATCAAGTATGGCATAATCAATCATAAATGAGGTGGTCAAGCGACATAATTCATTCATTCCAGTCAGATGAATGCAATGAATATACACGAGCCAGATATGGTCCACCGTTGACAGAAAACATGTTTAACACACATATATGGACATTTAATGAAAACAAAGAGAGGAGAAAGCATGATAAATCTGATCTTGAAACAAGCTGAGAAAATAAACCACGTAACCTAACGTTTCATCGGATAGGATCACATACATAACTGGATTTGATAAGATACCTTACTATTCGGAATTTGGAAAATGTTACTGAAATGAGCCAAAACTACGATAAGCATAACCTGATGTTGATTCACTTAGAACATTCTCCTAGCCAAACAAACCAGTCAGAGATTAACCGGAACTCAATTTGTGATTAGATCAGAATTGTCACTGATACAAGCACACACATTCAAGCATCCACTTAAGAAAACAGTTAAACAGACAGACGGGCAGCAATCTAAGTCATGAAGTCTGCGAGTGATCAAGCACATTGGTCGGCTCCATAATCACCTAAAACGATAGACTTTGTGAAAAAATACAGGTATACAACCAATTTTACGGTTCCTGTCGATGATCAAGTAAGGGTATCCAGAATTCTTCTTTCATTTGTGAACCGTGTAATGTGAGATCAGTGAAAATCGAAAAATAGAGTCCAGCTTTCTAAGGTTAGTTAGATAAATCTGAACTATCACAGGATCATTATACTGATACCCAGAGGTCGGTTTGTCTCGAAATAAGGATGCTGTGATATGAACGCGTGTATTTTTATTAGCCAGTTTCATGCGTCAAGAAAAATTCGAGTGATATGATTTGGATAGCAGAATGGGAACGGACTAATATGAAGTCGTCTGATGGCTCGTGGATACATCTTTTGGAACGTTGCGTGCATGAAGTGTTGACATCAAAAGGAACACGTGATTCAGGCATAAACAGAGATCTGAAGACACGAAAAAGAGTTCTTACCTTGCCACAGAACGCCGAGATTCACCATAATCCTTCGACCGAATCTCACTCAGGTCTCCGATCAGGTAAATGAAATTGCTGAATAATCATCGATTGTTTGCAGCAATGGAGTCGGAGAGAAAACAAACCGGGTAAAACATCAAAACTGGCTCATTAAAATACGAACAAAATTATCAAAAGCAATCCATACCAACCAGAAAAGCCTAGTTTGCTATCCACTCACACGTCAGACTAACGGGTCTAAAAACCGGTTAGAGTTTGCACATTATCATCCATTTTCTCAGTCCCCATTCCCGAACAGCACAGTGGGCATTTGAAATGGAACTTTAAGAATTAGCAGTGAAATCAGAGTCCTGCTCAAAATCCGCTTCAGATTTACGTTAAGACGCTAAGGCTTTGAGTATGGAATGCGGGAATTGTGTAACTAATCGATGCGGATGCCAGTTGGATCATGCCGGATATATTCTCTCTTCATTTTCATTTGTCCTTTCAACATGAACTTTCTATTTATTTTTTTTTGGTGGGGGAGCAGAGTTGCACGTCTATCGAATCACTCCGGTGTTTCACATGTTCTTTAACCAAGCATATGCAAATTTCCAAGGTCATTCATGACTGAGATGTACTTTTCCCTTGATTGATCGTAACACTGCGATAAACGTGTACATGAATAACAGTGTGTGCCCCAAATCATGTGATGGGGAAAACAGGCATGAGGTGGTAAACAAAACTAGAAAGTACTGCGTTCAATATTGAATAATCCTTGACGAAACCGAAATGTACCACCGGTATTCATCCATGCAAGTGACTTGAGATGATAGTGCAATTTTAACACCAAGTGCATTATTGGACTTACCCCACCCATAACTCCACACGCCCGCACAGAGCTCCTACCATTCATGTTTAACACTGAACTACTCGCTGTTTTTACATTACTTACCTGTTGTGTGAACAATATTAAAGATTAGGAGAACAAGGAAAAGAGATATTCCTCATGTTATCCTCATCCACCGTCTGAACGATATAGATCCCACAGACCCACAGATACAAAGCGAGAATAGTCTGAAATAAGGACGTATGACCTAAAACGGATGCGCCAAAATGATTCCTAGGATAGATTTTACACTGTGTATCGTTTGCTCGTCGGCACGAAGAAGCCTATAAGCACTTGGCGAGGTTACAGGCATTTCGGGAGAAAATCTTGATAAGACAGGAAGCAAAATTCCGGAACAATGACGAGTGCATGTCGTTAGAAAATGTATTCCGATACATTGGCTAGAATAGTGCCAGCTGCCTTCATAAACGATGATCGAAAATAGTGCAACGCTCCACAGACAAGGAATCACAATTGAAGTAAATCTATCCAAACAATTCTACCCATGCGGGACTACCCAGTCCTGCCCTACAATAAACGTTCTTGTCTGCCTCACCAAGTCCTTTGCCACGGACTTTTAGGTGGGTGTCACCATGTCGACCATGATGATGCATAGACTCAAGAATCATTCTTTTGGTAAATTTCTGAGTCATGCACGTGAATGCATTTGCGAGCTAACTAAAAACTCATCTAAGCATTAGCAACCCCGTTCAATGATGTGAGTATGAGTGTGTGGAGGGGGCGACATAACTAGAGATGGTGAGCAGTGATAGGAGGATCTAACTTACCTACGATCGAGACTGAGCAGATACACTCCCCCTTCCATGGAGATCACATTGGCACTTCGTTTCTCGGATCTGAACACAGGAGAATGAAACACAGAAAAACAATGTATAAGTTCACGCACTGTGACAGTTCTCATAGCAGCTCATAGAATATCTAGTTTCCTCCTGATGAAAATTCATCACGTATGAAATAACGTGATAGTTGCAAACATTCGAAATTCGTTATTTCACATAACTGATGGTACCTGATAAAAGGTATTTTACCAATCACTTTAAAAAGCTTGATAGTTAGCTACATTTAGATAACCATTCCTTCAATGTGTGCAACCTACCTATAACAGCATTATGAACAACTGTTTGGTGAAGAAATCGATTTTTTAAAATTGATTTTCAAGCCGTTTACAGGTTGCATAGAAAACATTAGCATTCCGGCCGAGGTAGTTGGAGTGAGAAAGTCTGAGTTACTTCGCGTTCGGCTCAGTTAATCCAACTTCCATGGCCCGTCATCCAGGCGGATTGGCAGAATCCACTGTACACTCGTTCGTTGATCATACCAAGCACGTGACACTGACAATTTAACTTCGAATAATGTTTGCTCAGGCTTAGTGTCAACCTTGTCTTCTGTTTTCTTTTGTTTCCTTATTTGCTGCCTGCAGCCTGATGCATCCGAATCATGGCCGGACTATAGCGAATATATGAACTCATGGTAAATTATTCCACTTCGTTTTTAAAATTAGGTAGCAAGTGCATCAAAGTTACAAGGATCATTACACTTGAGTGCAAGTGTGCCGTGCGTACATCAGCTGTTACAAACTGAAGCAAACTTACAAGTCAAGAATATGAAATCAGTACCACGGATAACAGACCGTCATATTGATGATCGAGTTTCTTGGGTTACAGGTTAAAGGTTACTGCACTTCAGAATGAAACAGTGTGATATTCAGTAACGAAGAAAGTTTAACCTCGATGGTACTGACGGACTCGTTTACCACAGGCAGGGCCTAAATACGAGCAATTTAGCCTTCAACAGTTGAGCCTATGGCGGAGGCTCTGTCATTGTTGTGAGTGTCATTTTTGCAGATAAAAGGTCGCATTAGGGAATTCTCGAAGAAACCATGCAGCTGAATCTCACATGAACATCTTGAACTAATTGCTTATCCCCCCGTTTTCCGAAGTGTCTTTTGGGAACCATGTTTCTATACACGGAGTCCTCGTCTCTAGAATGTGTTTACTACACCGACACATCAACATCATGGATTTTTTAGCCCACAGGTCGGATCTGAACCACAATGAAAATGCTTGGTATCGGTGAACGAGTAGCATTTAGGTGTATGGAAAGGTATTCCACATTCTACTCGAATCAAAGATAGTGAATTTTTTACGGGTGGAACAATTTCAAAGATTAGATAGTTCCGAACCTACGGGAAAATATATTTAAGCCCCATGGTTTTAATAGAAACCATTGGGGTATGTTAATCATTTTCCAGGAATGGGTTCAATAACATTTTGCAACCCTAAGGGCAGGTTTTCAAGGATCAATCAATTTAGCAACATTAAAAACAAAATCGGTTCCGTTGTCCTTTACAGTGCTGAGTTTTTTAGCCATATTTGATCAATTCGGGTGATTTGGCTACCGAGACATGACAGGAAAAACAGGATGTGGTCAATAGGGTTTTTCCCCTATATGATTTTCAATGGAAGAACGAAGTCCACATTTACTGGGTTGTCTGACTAGGGATTTAAAATAAGAATCGATTGCCGTTTTGAGTAAGGCTATATGGACTAAAAAACTTTGCTAATCTGGAAAACGTTTACGTACATTTATATCGGAATAAAGTGCACACCGAATCGTATTACCTGGTGACCTGAATTGAGCAAAACTGTTTCAACTTAAAAGAACAACTCTGTTCACCCTAATTAAAGGAATTTAATTTCAAATGACCTTGAAATAGTATACTTTTAAACGGACAGGTGAAGGTACATGCTGATTTTAGTTAGACCACTGGCGATCCGAATCGGAATTGAAGGGATCAGAGCAATTTTTGTGAAGAATTACTTCAGTTTCATGCAAGATGGTTCCTTTTTATGATTTTATGATCTATCCAGTTGGTAGTCATTGAAGCTGCATACTCAACGAGTCATTAAGTAGATAAGCTCCTGTAATGTGTTCACTGCCCACTTCCACCGCTCAACTAATAATTCTTCCTTTCTCTGTTTTGAAGTTCTTCGCACCAGGAATTTACCCTTTTCTAAGCCGAAAATTCCTAACTTCGAGCAAATCCCGAATGACACATGAGATTTGTCTGACAGGAAACATTGGTATGACCCAGTAGTGACCAAGATAAAACACATCACAGACATACTCTACAAACCAACTCACGATCATGTCTTTTAGATTCTGTTCCTCTGTTAAAGACTTTAAACCTTTAACATTTGAAACCCTATTTAGTTTTACGATGGCTTCAAGCGTGCGTAATCCATGAACGAAGGCGAAGAATCTATTTTAGTTTCCATTTTAATTTTTTTCGTGTTTGAATATATTTGTGATACAAGTACGTAGTGATCAGCCTCAAACCAATCCAATCTTGTATTGATAGCAGTAACAAAATCCTATTAAGCCGACACCATCAATTCTCATAGCATCCTACCCAGTGCACCAGTGCATATTGTAAACCACATCCAGTCATCGATCGAATGCACTAAGATGCTTTCACGATCTTCGGTGATGTAAACTCAAAGGGGTTTCCGCTTTCGATTCTCTGAAAGCGCTCAGTCAGTACCGTATCATTGTATTCTGTTTGATTTGAATTATACTTGGAAGGCTAATCCACAAACAGATACTCTCGTTTCCGGCGAACACCAGAGGTTTGCCGAGGTCTGTACTGAATGCGCACGGATCCAGTTCGGAATGAGTTGTCCAAACAGCCTCACAGATCAGTTCAGGTTGTGATGCTGCCAAACGGATCGGAGCAAATTTGTTTTCAACTTCTGTAATCACCACTATTTACTGAATTTTACATCCAGTCCATGTGTAAAGAAACCTGTTCCGTCCACACATTCGAATGTCACCAAAACTGATTGTGCTTAGCTAGAGCAAAATCCGATCGAATGACTGTCCATATACCAATGACGACCCGTTCCGAACCGTGACTATGCAGCGGGTTACTAAAACCATTATGTTGTGATCGTGCTCGTTGAACTGAGGGCATGCATAGTATGCCACGAAAGAATCTTCTGCTGACAAATCCAGATGCCCTATCCGTACAAGTCACGATAAAATCAAACGAAAACGTGTACAAGAACAGAGAGATGATAAAAGAAGATGAAAAAGAAAAAAAGCTCATTCAAAACGCACGCAAACTCTGATATTCTATCAACAGTAGCTACTGGAAAACACTTACGTGTAAAGTGCTTTCTCACCGAACCAATCTCCAGGGCAGAGATGTCGAATTTCTTGTGTTTCATCCGTTCCGTCTATCGATTTAGTTACCCGGACCTAGAATGTGTCAGAAAAGAAATGCAGCAGTAGATGACCATTGTTTTGCGCTAGCCTTGATGAAGATTATGCTAAGTGCGATTAATGCAATACATTGGTCAGTACTTCGGGGAACATACACTACCGCAGACCTACTGAGTTAACTTGAGGGGAAACAATCTGAGGTAAGGAGGGAGGCAAGAAACACCACGTATCACATACCTTTCCGGACTGGATGATAAAGAACGTCTCTCCAATCTCACCCTCACGGATAATGTATTCATCGGGGCCATAGTAAATCTATCGATCAACAGGTAAAAAACGGAACGAGATTAAAAAAGCATTACAATGCCGTTCAGATCTGACTGTAAAACAAAACGGGGAAAATATTGCATTAAATTTAGCGAAGAACTGATGAGCTAACCTAGTTCGTTTATCACGTGAACCCAAGGTCGATGTGACTGATACAAGCTCACCTGAATTTTTTTTTAATGAATGGCACTTCATCATCAACTTTTTGTTCCTGAATATGCGTCTGAATGAATTCTATGTTTTTGTCATTTTGGATGAAATAGCTGTACTCGGATGACTTCTAAGACCAATGCATTGGCAATTCAATAAACAGGCTGTTAAAATCTGAATTATATGAAAAAGGTATGACTGATGATTTTTCACAATCGATTGACAGTAGTGGACGTAGCTTATCGTGATTAACAAAAATACATCATAATATATGTTGCGTTTCAATCCGTATCACACGAACAGGCAGAACAGAAAATACGTCAGTTGAAAAACGGCTTAGCAGTGTAAACCTCTTTCGATCTTATCGGGTTTCACTCACTCACTCCTCGATCCAACTGAGGATCAGACTTGGAACCTCACAAAACAGTCAGTTGATTAGATCGTTTTACTTTGTCTATGTACGCCAAAGTACGATCCATCTGTTGCGAGCAACCTCGACCAACATAGCGCTGTCTTCCAGGGTTCTGAGTTCTGAGGGTTTATTCAAAATCTGACTTTGAGGATATTCCATATAATTAGCAAGACGGAACAAGTAGCTGTGAGAACTCGGTTCGTGAAACTTTTCAGACATGGGTGATTTACTGTCCGTATCCGTTTCTTTCATGTCAAAATAGGCATGACTGACAGCTTTCATTACACACCCAGACTATCTTCTTCAGAAATCGGGCGAAGTTAGTTGTGTTGACTGATCACAATACTACTACTACTACTACCACTACTACTCGGTAACAACAAATCACGAGCAATTAAATAATAGAAAGCGCCGAAAGGAATGACATACCGATTCCAAAACGTCGGCCAATTTATGCATCTTTTCCGGGCTGAGGCTTTTCAAAGCAGGCACACTGATGAGAAGAATTCCAAAACAAAACGGAAATAAGCAGTCATTTGCTGGAGTATACAGCGGAGATAAAGTGTATGCTAACAGCGATTTCAACGTTTTGTTCTCCACCAAACATAGCACAGATGAGGTGTTTGTTTCTCACTCAACTATCAAGTCTGATTTGAGAGTGAAAACCAAAATAACCGCGGCCAGTCGTCGACAACCGTGTTTGTTTCAATGGATAACTGGCAAACAGTTCTATTGTGTGAAATCAGTAAAGAATGTTGGACAGTCTGAACAGGGTTTATTTTCGAACTCTACGGAATAAGAACTGATAGACCTTGTGATGACGATGGTCCAATTCTCGTGCATCGCAGACAATTTATGGCGTGAATCGACCATGTTCTTGTGTGTGTCTGTGTGCGGAGAAATTGGCAACTTGACAGAATAACTGCATGAGCTTAATTACAACGACTTGGGAGATTGTTACTGGCACATTTTATATGACTCACCTTTTGAGGAATTTTATATTTTCTTCAGTTTGATGCAGGCATGATGACATCATTATTTGCTGGAAAACGCTTCGATCGAGGGTCCATGCTGAGGCCTTGGTTACAGCTGACCAAACGGACAACATGGTTACCAGAGGAAGAGATAAGTGAATTTGTCGGTTTCAAAAAATGATTCTGATCATTTGATATATTGGTGTACTAGAAAGTGTGCAATAATAAATGGTTGAGAAAATAAGATTCAGTTTTCTTTTGTACACCAGAATTCTGCCCAAATGTTTGGTTTAAGCACGTGAACTGGCATGGGTCTTAAAGACCCGGAACCGAACTGTATGGTCCCCCACTTATCTGCCTTCAACTACAACCCGTAAAAACAAAGTAATATACAGTCAAAAACTACTCCTGTATACCATTCTTGGTCCACATCAATTCGCACGTGTTATAAACAAACACTCAAACCCGGTTGTGAATTTCAGATTATAAATTTCTCAATTTGACGAGTAAACAACAAAACGAGTTTCATGATTTTGTCGTGAAAGGATCAGAGACTCTGATGGACTGGAAACCCCGCATAAATGATAATCTTACGTTGGCATAATGTGCGTTGTACCGATTGTGCTCTCAGACTGTTGTTAAATCGATATGGATTGACTGATTAGTAAGGATACATTTTGTCAATATCTCACGCTGTCCTTCCTAATTTTAGGCTAACTTCACTATTTGTATACAATGAATGTTTCGATCTCTTTGGTTTTATGGTGGTGGTGGTAGTGGTGGTGTGAAAACCATGACAAAAAAGGAAATTGGGATGGCCTTAGACTATTTTTTGAAATGATAAACGGTGGAACAAAATGTATCAAATTATGAACACAAGGAATTTCATTTTTCTTTAACGGAAGCCAATATCTTCAAACTTTTAGGATCACTTTGCAGAGGCAACTGAATTATGTGCGTATATCTCGAATAAAAGCCGACAAGACCTTTGGTGAATATAATTGAACGGGTTGTGCTCGAACATAGCAGTTTTGCATGAACTATGGAGAGCAACGAGTTATGAAATGGTAGTGTATTTGCATGCCTCATGCTCAAACAAAGATATCATATTCCTGAAAGTTGATTGTATATTTGTGTACAGTAGATAAATATAGTAGAAATAAAACTCAAAAAAATATGAAAATCCTGTAATTCAACTGAACGGCAAAGTACAGTACATTTAAAGTAGGATAATGATCTTTCCCCAGCGATGTATTCATATAAAGAAATGCGACTGTGAAAGCTTCAGTATTTGCTTTCATCCAGATGCAAGCAGGACCATTTGACGCGAGATCTAGGAACACTTTATTAGGAAATCAGCCCCAGATCATACTGGGGTGAGGATAGTCATGTGGATTAAACAGAATTAAAGAGACAAGCTACTTAGCATGAAGCGAAGTAGAGGCATTTCTTCCAGTGAACACTATGGATTAAACATCATTGTTGACATCATAACTCCCCAACACGTGCACATTCGGTTGGTTGTTTTCCAGCAGAGGTTATTCCCGATTACCTTTATTAATTAATAATTTCCCCCAATGTTGAACAGTAAAATAGTGCTCATAAGACGTCATCTTTTTGCACCTTTTCGTGATGTATGTACTCTAGACAGCAATTCCTCTCTTAGCCACCGGCCACCACCACGGGGGAGGGGAGGAGAGCGTGGCTAAGAACACAACGCGAGCCTGTTATGGAGAGGCTGTATGATAACAGAACTGGACGAGTGATTGTTTCTTTTTCTTTCGGTACTAGCCAGTCACGAGTGAATGATAACTGCGCTTAACCGTCGATGATGAAGATCACGCAATGGTCATGATATGTCTAATTGAAAGGGTTTACGTCGACCGACAACCAAATCGAGCATGAATACTTTTTACGGTTATATGAAATTTTAAACAGGTAATAGAATTGTGCAGATCCGAGAATTTGTTCAAACTTCCGTGCCTTTTGGCCGATTGAAGTAGGTGCGAACGAAGGAATGAATGACTCGTCGGTTCGCTTGATTAGCTTCATCAAGTAGCCAGTTGTTCGTACAAGCAGCATATTGCTCCGATCTAAAATACTCAATCGCCGTGTAAGTTGCAATCTGTCGATTAAGTAACATAACCAATGAACTCATTACCATCCAAAAACCAAGTGACTATTCTCCCCGGTGAAAACCGAAAATGGGAGACGCCGTGTGTACTCCGTCCGTAGTTCAAATTACTTTGCGGCGTCAGTACATTTACCTTTCAACACCATGTGGGCGATAACACACTCTCATTTGGCTACACAGACCCGCTGGAAATTGTTCAAAAGCATTCTATGAAGTCCTACCGATTACGAATACAAAAGCGATTAGCTTGGATACAATGCAGCCATGATGAGAATAAACTGTGAACCGTGGTTTTGACCAATGGCAATCAAACAAAAACCGACAGAGAGAGAATCTTGACAAGTAAACTGCAAACACAGAACAAGAGAGAGGGAGTGCAAGACCACAGTATCACATGACCCTGACAAGTTTGTGAAATCGGATAGCAGCACCAGCAAGGCAACTTATTTGTGGTTGCGGGAAACTTAAGAGTGGTAGACTGCTGCACAACATGTGTTCACAAGACTCATCTACCGGCTAATTCAACTGTGCGACGTCTGATGTAACTCTGAATTTCAGTTAAAAAACAGAAATATTTGAAATCATTAAACTTTCAAACGTGCAAACATCGAGAGAGAGTATATTGACTTCTTTCCTTTAGAAGGAATTTGAGGTACCGAAAAGACTGGATTAACTGATTTTCCCTTGGGGGAAAATCAAGGCGAACTATTTGTCGAAGAGTGGAATGAATAAAACATTTCCATTACTGTGTTATTTCTGAACGTTTGTTGTTTCGATCAGTTCGCGCAAAATTGTTCTTGTCAAGCACTGATTCAAAGACATGTAACTAAAAATGGTCGAAATATATTGATCAACTAATAACTAAGTGTAAGTGCTCCATGAAAGGCCGTTCTCTAAGGGTGAAAAACAGTTAAGTCATTATTGATTGGTTAGTATACAGCATGGCAAGGACAGACCAATCCGCTATATGGTTCTAGACCCCGATAAGAGTCAATGTATATTTGCAGAAAATGCAATACCAGAGTACCATTAAAATCAGTGTAAGCATTGGAATAGGACCTAATGTTTTAGCACCCGCTTGACATTCTCTTCATTCTCGCTACAACAGAGAGCTCTCACTACAGAACTTCGAACCGGTCACTGTTTCTTCGTAGGAATGGATCTGTCTGCTACTAAGCGAGCCCCAGAGTGCCCATAGTAGGGAGAACTGCTGCTAAGTTGCGACCAACCTAGAATTAGGTTGTTTGAGGCACACTCCATAAGGAGCTGCATACGTTTAACGGCAGCACTCCAGCAGGTGATGGGTTCTCCCCACAATACACAATGTGTGGGAGCACTTTGACTTGGCATATGTGACCCGCTAGGAAAAAAGGCGATTTCATTTTTTTGAGTTCCATCTACCAAACGAAGTTTTCCAAAAGAGGCGAATGAACCACAATGCTGACCACTGTTGACGTGAAATAGCACTGTTGCCTTGCGGTTCTCGTTCGATTGAGCAAAGAGTAAGTCCTCGAACACCGACCACTACGGGCCAGGAGACGGAGGAGAACAAGAACTCACAACGCAAACAACTGTAAACAATCTCCAATCTACGAGCTGACCTTCTTCCTTCTAGATACTGATAGCTAGCAGTTGTACGCCACGCACTATCACTTCTCTTAACCCCCTTCATCTCACGCCCGTTAGTCCCAGGTATATTCACATTCACCGGGAACTTCAGTCGATAGTAATGGCAGTGGTTTCTCAAATATAAATTCGTTTCCCGTTATCTCGCTCTCTGCTTCGACTAGTTTCCATGTTTCACCAAATCCTTCCCTCTCCTGCCGGAGATCGCAGCTCTTTGTCCTAGGTTTTCCTTCAAGCCAGCCGCATTTGATATGCAAACCCTACTGCAAGTAGGACAACAAGCCGCTTTAGCGCCTTTGTTCGAGATCTTAGCCATTTTATTTAAGAGACTCAGATCCGAAACTCAATCTCTTCTATTGCATGGGTGAGCTCATCCACCCAATCTGCGAAGTTTCACTTTCGCCATTGTGGGGACCCTGAGGCGGTCCTGCTGGGTACGACGTGAGAGAGTCACACGGCTAGATTGAATCCCAGCCGATAGTCGCTTGTACGCAGTAAGACTGAGAGGCTCGTTCAAAGTAAGCAGTCATCGCTCCAATGCTATTTCAGTATAAGCATCTTCTATCTGCTGCCCAAATTCAATCAAACATATCTGTCACAAACAGCTGCAAGACCTCTTGCGTGAAGTGAATCGATCTGATATCACAATTTTAGCAGAAAACATTTAAACCAGATTAGGTCGGTTATCTTTGAGCGAGGTGCATCTTGGAGGCTCTTTTAGTTCAGATTCCTCTCACTCAGAAAACAGGTACTTTATTCCAAGTAATATCTATATCTTACTAGTACGAACTATAGACGCTTCTGTTTTCGATAGGCCCGCTATAATCCGTCCACGGTGTTGATCGCATCACTATTAGCCACAAATGAAGGAGTTGCAGAAATAAAAGCTAATCATACTATAGCATCCCCCCCCCCTCAAATTCTGTCTCGCATTATTTTTCGCTGAGCTTCCCATGAGGACAAACAAATGTCTTTTTACTTCCTTTTTCTATTTATTGAATATACAAGTGTACAGTCAGATTACAGGAGAGGGGCTGCGGCAATACAAAGGCTACCTGGGGGGAGAGTACAGTAATAGGGAAGTGGGACGGCGGTGGAGCGGTTTGGACCCGGGACTTCCGGGTCGAAATTTGGTGATCTCACCATTTGACCAATTGACGTTACAGCCTCAACACATAGCAACGGTTAGATTATAAGAATTTGTTCCAACCGGCTTCCCTAATCGTCTCCAAAACGAACTGGCTGAAAAACTAGAACTAACTACACCTGACAACATTAATCAGAACTGGTCGCTCACCAAGTCAATTGTGGCCTAATGCGTTGTTGTGATACATTGAATTTCCTCTGAGTTTCTGCACCTTCTTGAAAAAAAGCGGTCAGTCTCGAGCAGCGAGTATAACAAACCACAACTTGTTACGAGACGTTGACTTAAATTAGGCCCACGCAAAGACCGCGAAATCTGATTATGTCAATGTCTACCAGAGATAGAACGTGCTGTTGCAATGCCTAATTCACACATGCTGTTTCATCTCATCCCGGCAACCAGTAGGAAGGTACTGCGCAAAACGACCTGAAAAGCTGGGAGTTCAGCTGTTCAGACTCAAAACCAACTATTTATAAACTGTTTGGAGCACTATGTAAGGCATAGTTGATCCGAACTTCAGCATCAACTTTTCCAAGGGCTATCCTGACACATGTATTAAGGTTTGTTTCGATAGGCCTACATTTTACAAGATTCGGGGCTCAAGATATCCTAAAAACACCGGGTTCCAATGGTTGTTGCCCTACTATTTTTAAAAAGGGTAGGATAAAACCTGTTAGAAAACTATGAATTCCGTTCCCCGAACTTTTGAGGGGAAGTCGATCGTTGTCTCACACTTTTAGAAGGCACCGTGCAGGGTTGTATGCCAATGGCAGTAAAGCCGTGAGCGCCCGTCATACTTCGCAGATTGTATAAGATGCGAACAGATCCGTTCGATTTTGGAACCAGTAGTGGATCCATCAATCAAATGTTCACCCTCCGAGACCCGCTAATTCCCTGCCACGGTTACCAGTTTCAATGAAAAATCTTGATCTCGGACATCCAGCAGGGATTGCAGTTTGGAAGTGTTTGTTGAGCAGTGGAGTACCTTAGAAGTATGTATCAACCTTTGACGTCAAACATCAAGTTGATATGCGGTCCTTGGGCGGCCTTCATCGTGATTTCTCATCTCTGATGGAGTGACAAGCGGCTGCCTTCCATCTATTTTTAACTTTGCCATAGGGGATATTCTACGCAATACTTTGTCCCGTCTAGCTAACGGTTGAGTAGAACTCCTCTGGGAAATGGAGTTCTTGACATAAAAGATACCCATAATATCCTTCATGACAATATGCAGACAGTCAAACACGCTTGGAACCACTCAGTGATATATTTTTTCCACTTGGATGTCATTAAATAATTTGTCACATTCATTGCTCTCTCATCGTTTACTCTAAATAAAACGGGATGTTTTAACTAACTCAAATTACTGTCAGTATTAGACATGTGATATGGAAATCCCCAAGAACGACGATTTCGACAATCGTGGCACCACATTTTTCGAATGAATCGTATTTTGGCGTATGTGTAAAAATGAGATCATTCGGTTAAGATCACATCCCTTTGAACAGATTTAGAGCATGTAATCGTACTTCATAGGTAATCGGATTTTCACTTATGCACTAAGCCTAACCAACCATTGTTCCTCCTTCCCGTATGCCTGTTACTGAGGTTAGTTGTGATAAAGAACAGATGTGTCAGGAGTTCTCGAGGTAAAAATAAAAGCTCACGCAAAACCAGTAATGCAAGTAGATTATTCTTGTGTATTTGAATGGTAGGGCACTCACCGCGAACAGATGCAGTTCGATTACAGTTGTATAGGAGAGCCAATTCCCCAAAAGCTCGACCCACATCCATTCGGCCAAGTAGTTGATTCTGTTTGGATACCTCGAGTACACCCTCTGAAAGAGTACGACAGGGTATGTAAGAACAAACAATCAACGGAGAAAACATATGATAGCATATTGCAGCGTTTCAGTAAAAATACAAATAGCCGTTGTACAAATAAAACTCTTCCGCAGCTAGATGTATACATAGGAATGGATCGATGGTCGGTGATGGCCCGGTGGTAACGTCACTAAATTATCACCCCGGGGATGTGTGTTCGAATCCCACCACCACCGCCTGACTTTCCTCTTTGTGTGTTGAATGGCAGCGTTTTGATTGGCCGCTTCCCCCTTCCTGAAACTTGTTGTATCTTTGTATGTTCAATGAAACGAAGTAAAGTGAACAAGAAAAAAAGAAAAAAGAAACAGATTTGATAAATGAAGGTTTACTGAATTAAAAAAGTGCATTGTGATGGACATGCAGATGTTTTTGATAATCTCGAGAACTAAACAGTTATTCACCACTATGAACAACCACACTTAAGTGAACTCATCCCCGGTCACCATCTATACCAAGCAGCAACAATCTGGGAATTATCTGAATGTACAAAAAGACACAGTGAGACAGTGAACTCCATCCCAATCATTATCTACATCTACATCAATATTATCTACACAAATCTAAATTTAATGCAGAGAGAGCATTTCTGTGCGGACCAGGTCAAACAAACTGCGGACTGCCATGATAAATTCTGGAACACGATGAATTTGGTTTCACACATGAACTACACCAATTCGAAGCATTGTTGTTCTCATCTGATATGGTATCGATTGGATCTGAACGGGTATTCTGGGTAAACTGTATCAAATGCCTGGGCTTTTATCAACAGTAATCTTCATTGGACCGATCACATTCAATATGCCGCCGCTAAATATTGATAACTTTCTTTCCATATCCGTAAACTTCATCAGTTTCAAATTAAACATTTCATTATCTGCAAATGTATTTACCGGTCTGTTTTCCTCTTTTTACGTATTGTACATCTGTTGCTTTTCTAATCTCCCAAGGAAGGACTTTAGGCTGTTTCGATCTAGATTCACAATCATTAGCCGTTATTCTCTTAGTCTCTTCAATCCCACTGGAGGGGCTGATAACTAATCTGTGTGAATGTCATTTGAATGCATGTGAAAAGTTTGCACATAAGATTCTTATCGACTCCACACATCCGCTACATATAAATCTCACTTCCAGCTCCATAAATCAATTAGATCCCAATATATTTGTGTTCGTTCTCACATAAACCTATACGGTAACTCTACGGTACCCACTTAGCACGTATTCTAGTTAACAAATAATAGGTGTTTTTCGCACTGTTAAAAAATTAGGCACTTAATATTCTTCCTTTCTTTTTTCTACGGTATATACTTTCGACTGAAATTCAGACTTCACGTGTACAGAAGTTATAATTACAACTAAAACCACAATTACAACAGTAAAAGCCCGATCGATACAACTACATTTGTGGTATAACTCAACCAGATTCTCCCTTCCCCCTACCACCCCTATCATTCACTCCTGCACTGACCATATGCACCCAGCGGAACGGGCGCAGAACTGCTCTGATATTGACCGATAGTCACAAAATGAACCTACGGATATTGCAAATGATTTTTGGAATAAAACTGTGTTCATAATTCATCTGACCCTCGATAGTGGTCACCTCTCTGCTTGAAACAGTGTGTTTATAGAAATCATGAGAATACACTTCACTCAATAAGCTTTATTCGCAAAGTTGATGAGTGGCGATCTCCTGTTTACTGAATGATAGTTACGGTGTCTAATGTCTAGTCGCAACATCATGAACACAAACCTGAAGTAATAAAAGTAGAAGCTAGTATTCACGTGACGCATACTAAACGTGTTCTGAGGTTCCATTCAGAGGGCCTAGAAACATGACTCTCGGGCTTTCTAAAATCAAGAAAACTTGAATAATCGAGCAGTTCAAACTCATTGGTCAGCTAGCCTCTGTATAAACTGATATTATGCACCTAGAGGTTACTTGCTCTATTTAGAAACGGTGGAAAAGTCCAGAATTTAGATACTGTCAGGTTGTTCCTTTTGTGTCAGTTATTGTATCCAGGTTGAGAGATGGACTACACTGACCTCAGCTGTAGTTCTGATTGTTTCTCTGTCATCCGATAACCTTGAGCCCATTCACACGAAGAGCACAGTGAATATGATTTTCAATCAATATCTTAAAGAACTACTGGAAAACGGTTGCGTTTAATCTGAGTTGCGTGGAAAGTTCACTACAGCTGACTGGAGGTGAGCTGATTTTAGAGAGAAGTTAGTTAACTGGACATCACTCTTCGTTCCAGCCCCCCCCCNCCCCCCCCCCCCCCCCCGGGTTGTGGTATTATTGTTGTGGCATTGGCACTATGCTTGTCTGTAAGCCGTGTTATATATATATATATATATCTTTATCACTGCAACATATTGAGTCGTCATCTGTTTCTTTTTCAACTAGAAATATGTTTGAACGTCACTTCTAACAATAAAGCTCTAAGATTTTATCGAGCAGCTACGTCTAATTAGGTAGTTCAGACAGCTACCATCAAAACTTGTGCATTCTTATATTGTCGACTAGTCTTCCCAGCTAAGAAAGGTGGCTCTGTCCCTTAAAAGAAGCAGTACAACCAATTAACAGNATTAACAGTAGACCATCTTCGACAGTAATCATGATCATACATTCGAATGGACGAAGATGCAGTTGGGACTCGGTCTCAGCTGGCTCACGCACACACTAACCTGCAACAACGTAGAGTGCGTCACCCGATTGGCCCTCACGGATAATATAGGAACCTTGTGGAATGTTCTTTTTGTACATACAAGATACGATTTCCTCAATTTGAACTTTGTCCAAATGACGCAGGAAATCATTGTTTTCGATGGCTTCACGGATCAGATTGCTGGACCTGTGGATAAAACAGTATAGGAGAAAAACAGTTATTGAATTCATGAAGAGCAAACAATATTAATTTCTCACACAGTGAAAGTTTTAGTGTATTATTCATGAACTTTACTTGCTCGTAAATTATCAGTACCCTTAAGAAAAATTGTGATATTTTCAAAACAATTGATTTTGATTCTGTTGAGTGCAATCAAAGCGGCGAATTATAGAATGTTTGAAAATTCATGAATTGCTTAAAAAAGCCTCTGACTTTCTCCACCCTCAACTGATTTGCATTCAAAGCTCAAAACAGATTTTTTGTAACTCGTCCAAAAGTTCTACTGCATCGATCTGGTTGATCGGAAGTTCAGTCACGTATAAGTGCTTCGCTAGCCTTTTTCCTTCAAAACGAATGAACCTCGTGATCAAATTGGGACTAGGAAATTCACAATTTAATGCTGTCAAATGTTGCAAAACGCGTCGAAAGCAAAACGATCAATAGAAAAGAAATAAGGGTGAGACCAGTCTGTGGCAATCACACAGGTCATCGATCTGACCACACATGTGGGAATGGATAAAAGTCGTTTCATCGGGAGACAGAGCTGTTGTTAACATACTGTGTTTACCAGATAATTATTGCACGAACATGGGGAACTAATCTAGAAGTACCCAACAACATGCATATTTGTGTAAAAGGCCATTTGAGAAAAGAATATATGATTTGACAGAGGTTCCGAACGGTGAATTTGGCCTATTTCCATCGTTCCTGCTTTCTTATGTCCTGTTATTGATTATACAAATATTTAATTTTCCAGAAGGAGGAAGCGGCCAAACAAATGGCTGCCCTACAGTGGATATTGGGCAGTCAGGCGATGGTGGTGGAATTCGAACTCAAGTTCTCCGCGATGATAATTTGGTGATGCTACCATCGGGCCACCACCACCACCCGAAAACAAAGTTCTGTAAACACGTTTTCCTGTATCTCGACACCCCTGTTATACATATGAAAACAAGTGTCAATGATGGTGGTAGCAGTTCGCATTTATTCAAATCGGCTCAAGAATACTGAAATGTGCATATCCGATTGCTTAAAATATATATAGTGCCATAATTCACGGTTTCAATTTCTAAGAAGATCAAGTGAAACTTAATTAACGCGTGACCAATAAACTTGAATATTGTTATTATGGGGTGATTCCCTCCTCACTAGACGGAAAGTTGAGTTTAAGTCAGCAGTACTCTGGTAAGCAACAGAGCCAAATTTTCTGGGAAACATTCTATAATCAATAAATTGTAATGTTTTACACAATGGCAGTTACTTTTACACATCTGCACCCACCGGAACGGCCAGTCCTCACAAAACATTTTACATTATCTATTATTTTGCCATCCACTGATGTAACGTATAATCAACAATGAATGAATCGGGTACTTAAATCTAGAAATACACGCTCGTTACAGTGTCAATCTAAACACAGGACCTATTTGATCCTTTACCTGTAGGACGTGAGGTTTTCTTTTAGTGTACTATCATATAAAAAGTGGGTGAAATGATAAATAAGCTTGATTGTGATCGCCCTCGCCTCAAATTCATCACCCCTCTTCCCAGGTTTTCTTTTTCACACTCTCTTTCGTTTCCACCATTCAAGAGAACAATCCATTCTGCTTTTTTTCCCGAGGGGATATGTGGGGAACAAATCAACCGGCCCCTATGTGTGTCCTTGCGTGTAACGTGTGGAACTGAAATGCTGGGTGGGTGAAAAATCGATGGATAACATACATAACATCACCTCGCTGGTCAAATTGGGAATTTCCGAAAATATCGATCTGTCGCAAGCAATGTGACCCATAGAACACTCGGAACTCATTGGTATCATGGTTGACAGGATTTTATGTGGTTTGCACTGAATGGGACGAGTGAAACAGTAGAGGGCCACTTATATCGATATGCGTAAGGTGCAAGCGAGTGTTTTGTCCGTTTTAAAATAATCGCCTCGGTCATAAAACTTACCAATCAGGAAGAATAGATTAGGTTATTTAAAGGAAATTCAGTATACCTGAATCAACTCATCAAAGCAAACGTAAAGAGAAGTTATTTTCATTGCCGTCAGAATCTTGCATATCGATGGAAAGAGTGAACCACATTTACATTGATCACACTAAGGTAGAACTTAATTAACCCTAATTATGTAAGCGCTATATATTGAGAGGGACCAACTATATGGAATTTCTCTATCGATAAATTTGATTGTTATAGTGGTAGGGTTAGGACTTTGGAGCATGAATTTCGATACACCCTACGGAATAACATGTGACCCAGAAAGTTCAAAAATAATTTAGGTTAGAGTGACCAATACAGACTGTCATTCGTGTAGATGATCCACACCTTTTTCCTTCAAAAAGAAGTCCGTGCACATTCTGTTTGTCATCCTAACAGAAAAATAGGTTTTATCTGATCACCCCTTGTGTGTGCGTGTGTACGCAGGAAAGCTCCGGTGGTTTAACCGGTATATGTGAGACAAACGCAGTCCAGTATGTTAAAAGGATACCGTCGAACAATGGTACAGTTTCGATGGCAGTTGAGCCCCATGGGTCTCCATTCAGTGCTGCCCTATGAAACCGGTGAACTTCCTTATGGACGTGGCAAAAGTTGTGAAGACCAGGTCTCTGCTATTGTTGTTGTAGTAGTCGTCCTCGTCATTGTCTATTGGATACCAGTGACCTGCTTGTTCGCTGATCATGCTAAAGTACATATGTATTGTCAGTTATACTGCCCTTGCGATATCAAGCGATCTACACACATATTTTGATTTTGACCATAGCGGTACCCNGCGGTACCCGCATCACGTGCACCGCAAAGAAAAGAATACAGCGGAAAAGCACGCATGCATACGATACATACATTTTTAACTGCCTTTGCTCACACGCAAAGTGCTTGAGATTTGAAGTTCACAGCCTTTTATCCAAGTGTTCGTAGTTTTATTCACAATCAATCAGTTAGCGTCATATTGTGGGGTTTTGGTTAGAGGGAGTATCCCTCCTCTTGCCACACACACACACACACGCACACACACAAACCTAGCCCCGATGACAGACGATACTGCTGACAAGACGCACACCAAAAACAAGCAAACAAACAAACAAATAACAAACTGTTGTATTTAAGGTCTGCGATTGGTTGCGAAATTCAGACACAGGCGGATGAGTAACGGCTGTTTTGGAGAAACATTAGCCAAGACAATCAAATGAAAAATGCAAATACCCTACTGTGAAAGGAGGTACGGAACTAAACAATCATGTTACTATGTTTACGGGATCATCTGCTTGAGAATTTTCTTCGCCGCAACGGTGTATAGGACCTCTGGGGAATGATATTTATTCACCGTCTGCCCCGTCATTCCCATTGCAAATGACTGTCATAGCAATCAGTGGGACAGGTAATGGACAGCAAAATGGTTGTTTGTTAATGTTTTACCAGCAGGAGGAAGATGGTCGTTGCTCCGAACTTTATCAACTGCCTTAAGAAACGCGTTGACCATCCACTTGAAAAATATCCAGAAAAAAATAAACAAACTCTGTTAGGAGTTTTTGCGGCGAGGGGAAATAGTGAGTAAAAATAAAAAACAATTAACTCATGCTAATTGTGGTGTATCTGACAATGCCTCAAGTTCCAAAACCGTTCAGTCCTAAATCGAAAGAATTTCTGAAAAACGAAGTCAAGTTATCAACTCGAACACGAGATGATAATCCGAACCTTGATTCTCGTAACCACAGCACCCTCCACCAGTGTCTGCAAAATCGCTTAACGCGGCTTAACGCTTAACGTGGCCACGGGGACTGATCGACTGAATTCACACGAGTGTATCATATTTCAAATCCTTGTCCAGCACAGCCATGTGTGGGAATCTCGGTGGGGGACGGGGTTATATAGGAATGCGTAGGCGCCACTGCACCCTCTTGTCTGGTTTAAGGAAAAGTGCACGCATCGATGCACACTCAAGTTACGTCAACGGATAAAATCACACACATGTAGCGGACTGTTTGCACTAGGATCCGGTGCACGTACAGTCCACTGTAACAGTGATCGAAAAGTGGACGGATAGATGATAAATGGAAGGAAGAATTGTTATTTTCTAGATATTTTCAGAAGCCTGGTAGCGTGTTCTTTCCCTACAAAAGGAAGGAAACCATTGCGTGTCTGAGCTGAGAGTGGGGAGTACTATGAAAACGATAAACACAGAGCTGGAGTTCAATCCGTAGTCGATCGTTGCTTCTAATATAAGAACAATAATTCGTGGCGGAATATTGGATATTCCCCTAGTCTTCTTTCTCAGTTAATAATTGTGATTACCCAGCTATTGTATTGAACAGTTCATCCAGATCAAAAATTCAAGATGTCGGTCCTTACAACCACACAGTAGGGTAATCTTATCTGTCGTACAGAAACAACCAAGGTATGATAGGAGCCAGTTGTTAACTGGATGGAACAGCTGATTCTAGTGCATTCTCCAAATGCTACGCGGGAAACGAGACTCGCGCTCGTGATGAAAATTCCATAAAAGATGCTCACTTCGTTGAATTATGTAAGCAATTTCGTGCACATTTAACAAACAAGAAGTTGTAACGTGGGTCTGAGATGTATTCAGAGGGAGTTAAGTCATCCTGAACAGCATCTGTGGGAAAGCATCAATCTTTTGCAATCCACAAACAGTACTCATACGGAACGGTGACAGTGTGAAATATCAGTGACCGGAAATTCAGTTGGATTTTCCGAGTGAACCGATGAAACGTTGGGTTAAAAACATCCGACCATGCACGAGAACTACTGTCAATGTGCTATTCACGGTGATATTTGTTGATTTGACAGAGTTATAGAATTTTCAGAATGGTTCAGCTGCTCAATTCAACGGCAGAGCCGATTGAATCGCTGAGATCACTCAACTCTTAGAAAGTAGTAAACAAGGCCGGAGTGAAACCAGTTGCAGTCGATTGAATTTCGCAATACAATTTAGAAAATGAAGTTTAATCCCCTGGAGGAAAACTTTCTTGTGCACGAGTCTCTGATTTCAAAAGTTCAATTTTTTGGTAAAATAATAAAAATAATCCGAATAATGACGGAATACAACCCGAAATATATTGGGTGTAAAATAATTACAAATAGATTTAGGAAGAGGGCCACGGCCAACCAAAGACTGGATGAGGGACTCAAGAAATGATGGACAATTAGAAGCCTCACTAGAGACGAGATTTGTATGCGATCTACGAGGTGATATACTAGCGAGTTTTATTGATAGCTTAGTGTCGCACTATCACGAAAAGAAAACTAATGCTACAGTTTTAGATTTAATCTATTTTATTTTATCTTCTAGTTACCATGCTTACCAAAAGCCTTGTAACCGATCAGATCGATTTTCCTCATTGCATTCTCGAATAAATTATTACCTAACTCATCCATGTCACGAGATACGAAGCACTGTCAAACATCGAGTAGTAAAGCTCATAGATTTTACAAATCACGAAACCAGTGCTAGAAATTGCGTGACTTGCTGATCGCACCGGATTCTCTAAAGTCATAACCTTTTGGTTAACCATGTCCAGTCACGTACAGAGACTGAAATCACTTCGGGCGTGCAGATCAGGCACAATGGTCGATCGAAACATTTACACTTTAGTGTGTGTCTATCCACTATCCGTGCGTGTAGTGCAAGGTTATCGGAAATTACACTCACACGCTCCTTGAGAGGTGCGCACAGAGGTCTGCCAATCTCCGTTGCTCGGACTGGATGTAGGTATGTGTTTAACGTAGCCTGTGACGAAAATCAGTTCCCTATCAGAATAGTCGACTGGACTTAATTCACCACCCTTTCTTGTCACTTTATTTCAGATGAACCGTATCGTCGGTTCCCGGTATCGCGTACGCTGGATTCCAACACCGATGTAGACATGAGGGGGGGGGGGGTTGGGAAAGGGTCTAGCGGACAGAACGAGGTATGTACTTTTAGTCACCGAATCAGTGAAGCGAATGGAAAAAGCCACGGGCCAGGAATGCAATGACCCGTGATAACTATGGCTGCGTTATAATAAAATGATTATTCAAACACCATCCCATAGATTTGACAACTTCTGTGTGTGTGTGTGTGATAAGGTGAACGAGTTTGACGGAAGTCATCCGAATAAAATAAAATATCGCTTATTTATATTCGATTCAATCCGATCGTAACGTAGGCACCTTGGTGAAAACAGCATGGGTTGTAAAACTGTTTGCCCGCCCATTCGCTATTTGCATTGCACTCTCGTTTTACGAAGCAACGTGATTAAACTCACGTGAAGAGATGGGAAGAGAGATAGAATGACGCAATACACGCATAAAGTCAGCTGATTGTAAGCCAAATCTCACACGATGCGAGGTAACCAACCCAATTGTACGAGGGAAAGGAAATAATGGACTTTATTTAGGAGAAAAACACGAACCAAAAAAAGGAAAAATGATCATGTGGGTTAATGTAGCATTATTTCTATTTCTGCAGATTCCAAATCACATGGTAACTACCGTTGTCATACGAAAGTGCTTTCAGTGGCAACATTCGATGCCTCTGTTTCTACCACGTTAAAAATTGACTTAGACTACATGCGTACACTTCTTGGTAAACAGTTTCATCTTGACTGTTGTAGTCGCTCAAGATTTTCTCCGTACTGGATTTTCAAAGATTCGTCTTCCAGTAACGTTCCTCTTAAAGATAGAAACATCTCATGCAGTGAAAAAGAACTCAGCTGGAAGCATTTAGGAATCCATTCATTATGCAAAAACCATGGTTGTTTACATGGAAGATAGAGGATATTGTAGTGCATATATATGCTCGGTCCACTGGATTACGGTCAATCGTCTTGGTTGGCTGGTAGCTTCAACCGATCACCCGAGTTCCTATATAACTGGCTGTCCCAGAACAAACCAGCTTTTAGGGAGCATATTGACTCCTTGACAGTGACTATTATCCAATCATGCAAGTCCCACAGTACATTCTAATATTTTGATTTAATCGAAAGTGTTCCAATGATGGATGGTGATTGTTGTCCTCATGGACGTGTTGGTTCGATCCACCGGACCGCTTCTCTTTGGAGTAGCAAGCACTCCTTGGGCAAACAGGTTGTTACCAAGTATGACCTCGTGTTTTGTTTTGAAAACGGATATGAAGCAGAACTTCATATACAAACTCCATGGCCTATGCGATTCACCTACGGATTGACAGTATAAATTAAATACAGCTCGAATGAGTGGTGGCCCGGTGGTGACATTACCAAATTATCACCCCGGAAATGTGTGTTCGAATCCCATCACCGCCGCCTGACTTCCCCAATAAGTGCTGAACGGCAACCCTTTGATTGGCCGCTTCCCCCTTCCCAAAAATTGTATCTTTGTATATTCAATAAAAGGAAGTAAAGTGAAAAGAAAAAGAGAGAGAGGAAACTGAGAGCCGAAGTAGACTGCAATCAGATCTATCGAAATCCAGAACTAAATTCGAAACTACGAGTTGATCGACAGAATCAAACGAATACCGAACTGTAGGGTTCAGCATAAGGAAATTGCTTTGTTGGCCAAAAAAGTCAAATCAAAAAGGTACTTCTTTTTCGAATACAGCAGTTTTGTAGTTTATCCGAATAAACTGATTTCGTTTGGACTTTTATTTCAGTCTTTTTCACCTCGGCATCAAGCTGCAAAGCTCCAGAATGTGTTGCTCAGATATCTAGGTATAGTATAAAATAAAACTGGCGTGGTCGGCAAGTAACGAAAACAGGCTGGAATAACTTGTGAAAATAAAATGATCAACCAACTTTGAAGGGTATCGAGGCCATACGTATCTAGTAAAATTATATATTGTGATGCAAACCGGGTCGAATCGTAAAATCTCAGAACCCATTCCTTTAAAAGTTTTATAGCGACAAGTGAAACATGGCAGAACGGACTTTCATAGTGCGTACAATGGGATGAGCTGCACAGGGCATTGACCGGACATCTATAAGACCCTGAGACTTTAAAAAAATACGCAAAACTCCCATTGAGAAAGGTGTGACTTTGAGGCGGACGCTAATGATGCTGCCTACCACCAAAGTGTGATGGCGATTGCACATCAGTGTTGACTAGCTGAAATACGTGTGTTAACTGGCTCATAACAGTTAGATATCCGTTGCGGACGACTTTGTAGTGTAACTATGACAAAAATCGATCCGGAGGTCCACTCCCGTTTAAGTATCGGTGAGAAACAGGCAGTTGATGAAACTACTGGGCTATTGCTGTGAACAAAAAAGTTTTTGGGGTTCTGAAAATAATTGTATCCACTAACAGAAGTCGGAAGATGGGAGTGAACTGAATAGGATGTTGAATGACCGTAGCTTAAAATGAGGATGTTTGCGTTGGAGGGGTTTGCTAGTTGAAAAAGTTATTTTCACACGGTTTCAAGCCATGATAGGCAAAAAAACTTTCCAGTTAGGAGAATCCTCCAACACCAACAAAAAATAAACTTTTATAAAAAACCGGAACAGCAAACGGTCACGAGGAACTGCTGCTGCGTCATGAAAACCGGTAACCTAAGCCCCGGGACTTGGAGTGGTGAACCACTCAAGTCCCCGATAGGTTAGGTGTGTCAATAAACCGAATGGCAGCACAGCTGGCTACCACCAAAGTTGGGTGGCGACTGTGGGGCTCGAACCTCGGACCATAGGGTCCGAAGTACGCCTGTGACCGCGACTAAACCACTACGCCAACAACACCCATAACCACCACAAAAGGATACGAGCATCCCATCCAGTGTGTAGCTATGCAGATCCAGAGTCAGCCAATTGTACAAATTGTTTGATGACCGTGCTCACTGAATGGATCAGAATAAAGTAAAGTTTTGTGCCGGTGACTTTCTTGCAGTTAGAAACAGTTAGTGACAGAAGAAATGAATGGAATACGTGAACCACCAATATTTTGGCAAGTATTGTACAGATGTTCGATCCGATTTGATAGGAATCGTAGTCAGCAGTGCATATATATATATATATATATTTTATTGGTCAGCGCCAGGTGACACAAGCTAGAGGGACCTAGTAAAATATCGAGTATAAACAAGGTGCTAGCTAGCAAATATTATCACCAATCATTTTTTTGTATCAATCCAGCTACCATGTCCCGAAGCTCTTTTCTTCTAATTTAATTATTTGTTTCTCATACTTTCTGCGAAAACCAAAACTAAAGATGCATAAAGCAAAATGCTACGGAATAGCGAATGCTATTTTTCTTTGTAGTCTTACTCCACCGGTCCCAAACTAAGCAAGTATGCTCTATCCCAAACATTGCCGCAACACTAAATTGGAGCCCCATGCTCAATATCATAATACGTGAACCTGTAATCGTTTCAAGTTTTCATTTCTTCGCTCATTTTCCACTTTATCAGTTGCTCTCCTGCCAACCTGAGGTAGAACACTGCACAGACTAGCTTCGATACTGCAAACCTATAACTTCACAATATTTTTTCAGCGAAAACATTAGTGATGGTAGCCAAACTCCCAGTTGTTATAATATTTTTCCTGTACGCAAAAAATATCAAACTCAGGAACAGTCATTCTCTATCTATCTGTGCTGCCGAAATTGGTCATCAAACCCGTTTAAAGCAAAATTACTATATAGCGCTAATAATGTAGCACACCACTCGGTGGCGAACCTGAAGTCACTTTTATTATTGCTCTTTTAGAGATAGTCAAATAAATTCTCATGGATGGTCGACTCTAATCTTAGCTCGTGAGTAACATGGTCTCGCACAAATTATGAAACTAAAAAAACACCAGTTACTTTGTAAATCGTGACTAGATTGAGATATAGGTGAGCGTGTATCACTCAGACAGAATGACCGAGGGACTTCACGATTACATTTGACAACTCTTATCTTCGCACTACATTTTAGTGTTGATTTGAATTTTTATCCCACCTCACCCCCTTCAATCCCACTAAAAGCCTTGTTTTTTTTTAATATTCGAATTGTTCTTTTAGCCCTGATAAGGCACGACAAGCTGCCAGTTCTGTATCAAAAACAGATTAACTATTTTCCGGACCTAACATTTCAGTGTTCCAGACAGTATGACAGTATGCCCTGTCTTATCTATTCCAGAACCAACATGGTATGACGCTTGTTGTCTTATTCATCACCCGTTATATACCTAGCAATCACAGACATTTCGGTTTCCACTGTGGTTCGAGTGGGGAATTCGCATAACCGAATTTCTCAATCCACTCAACTCTCCTATCCTTTATTGCGAGACATCAGTGTAATTGAACAGCGGCTATCTGGTTAGCTTTGAAACCAGTGCGATAGTAAACCTGGACCCCGGAATTGTTGACGACATGGTTAAAAGAGAAAAAGTTAGTGGTATCTTCTTGTGGCACGAGCTTAGGAGACCTTGCCAATTCGCAGAAAACCG